AGCAATCAATTTGTGTGCGTGTAGCACAGTGGTTAGAGGCGCCTTGCAATACACAGATCGACCCCACATCACAGGTCCACCATGCCTTCTATCCATTCCGGGTTAGTAAATTAGGCACCAGAATCCATTCGGAGGATAGCAGTACTGGCTCGATACATCGGTAGGCCACCGTGAGTCATTGTAAAGGCCAGATCTGCATTCAGTCACCTCCAACGATACTCAATGAAGTCGAGTACATGGAGCATTCCTCACGGATTGATCAACGCCGAGCTTTACCCTTTTTATTATCTACTAATCATCATCCTACTAATTATTTTCGTAGTCCTTATTGAAAGCTGTGTTTCTCATAATACGAGAAGTATCACCGTATATAGAAAATCCAAGTCGAAAATGGTTTGGTCGAAACAGGATCGCTCAAATAAAAAACACGTGGTGCAGATCGAATTCGCCAGTGCAATTAACGAATGTGATTCCTTCAAATAAAATGGATCACCAGCTGAAAAGTGTTTACCTAGGACGTTCAATGAATACAACACGACAAAAAGTAAAACGATAACGACTTGAGAGAAGAACTCGGTTGAACAGACCGATTAACATGGGACTACCTGGAGCCTCTGGCAGGCACCACTGATCAGCTTACTGATGCCGACCTGCGTGTTCACTTACTTAACTTGGAAGCTCTTTCAGCTCTTTAATATACAGCAAAAACGTGGGCTGATATTTCAACGACGTTCAAGAGGTGTTCAGTAGAGGAGTGATCGAGCGACGTCTTCTAAGAGTGTGTCGGTGGGCGCACTCAACACCAAGCCGGTTTTCGGAGTTCAAATCTTCGAAGAATATCCCGTCCTCGAGGGCCGCCAAAATACGTCACAATAAATAAACATCAACGGGCTGGTCACATGATGACACAGCTGGAGGAAGACGGCACTGAAGTGGGAATGAAAGTAACCTCGTGAGAAACCATCAAAATGAGAGGATGACATCCTCGTCACACTTTCAAACCATCTTTATATAAAGCTGGAAATAACTCTTCAGGTCCTCAGGATCAAGACCGAGCCACCCACGAATACCACCATTATCGATGACGGTTTCAGGAAAATAAAACGAACGAAACAAGTGTGGAAACCCGAAGGACACGTGAAGACGGCTTGCATGATTCTCTATCTCAAAAAGGGTGCCTTTTGAAAAGTATTTAAGGCATACATTTTAACACTTAAATGCTTAACTGGCTCATTTCTACAAAGATTCGTGGGGGTACTATTTCAATTTGGTTCATAGTTGGCTGATACTTTCTTCTCGGTTGCAGAAGTGCCGCACTAAGGCCAGTGCTTCCCCTTTTCTTTTTTCCCCCTTCTTTCCCTTTCTTACCTTCGTTTTTTTTTCTCGAGTGTTCAAAGGGTTTTCTCGACTGACATAGGATATCTGGCATTACTTATGAGTGAAAAACAACCACAATGAGTTGAGGTAATCGCAACGCTCAGACTCTAGGCCAGATTCGAGTCCACAATTACCCCTTCCAAGGGCTTACGTGTTACCCAATAAAGCACTGAAGTCCTTACTTTTTCTCTCAGCCAGTTTTCTACCTAACAGTGCCATCAGAAATCACAAAGAACACACAAAAAACTGGCTGAAAGGAAAAACAAGGGCTCAGTGGTCCAGTGGGTAACACGTGGGCCCCCTGAAAAGGTACTCCAGAGTTCAAATCTGGCATGGGATCTGAGTTTTTTAAATATCTCAGCTTCATTGTGGTTATATTCTACATAACATCGTGCCCTGAAAACAATAATAAGCAGTAAATAAAAAGTTATATAGTGAGTGATAAACATTTTTAAAACATGTGAACCCGCATGGTGGATGGTCGAAACCTTCGCTATACAGTATCCACTGTAACTATCCACGTTTTACATTTATGTGGCCAAAATAAATACATCCATGAAGATACTGTACTCGAAAAAAGGACATCTTTAGTTCAATATGATACAGGCAGTGAGATAATGGGAAAAGTGCGGAGGAATGCAATCCTTTCTAAGGCAAAAATGAACAAAAACATAAGGTGCTAGCAAAAAACATGATTTCTGCATAGTCCTAACCCAGTCAAAACCCTAAACCAAACCACGGAAAGATATCTATAGCAAGGGTGAGTGGATGTTTTCTCGGAAACGAAAAGGCTTAACTGAACCGTGAACCGTGAATAGAACAAAGAAATCTTCGTCAACTCGATTCCATAAGTTCTGACGACAAAGGGGATCTCGGATGAGGTCAGGGTTCCGGATTTTGGCGATGGCAAGGAACAAACAAGTGCGGTACTTTTAATTTTCTAAGTGCCTAATGATTCAATTTGATGAAAATTCGAATCTTTGAGGCGGATTACAAAACACTAGGATTGAATCCTAAGAAACTTTCAAAGTCACCAACTAGTTCACATTTAAAAACGATTTCTAGCAGATGAAGACCAACAAGACCTCAGAGCTCTATTAACGGCTCATACCTAAGGTTCTCTCCTCCGCATTACTTTCATTGAGCTAACAGAAGTTTAACAAAGTTTTTTATGGTAATAGAACAGTTACATTCTTCCCATCGGTTTACCGCCTCATCGTGGCTGAGAGGTGTTCTTAGGTGTCGGACTGCGATGTACAGTGGGGCGATCCGTCCCCCCGGCAGGGTCTCCCAAGCTCCGGAGAAAGAGTCCGGCGTTTCAACCAGGAAGCCCAGCTAAGAGTAAACTAATGCCAGGATCCACTACCGTCCTGGTGTCAAAGTAGTCGCATGGTGGCAAATCCACAAGGGTTGCGACTGCTTGTGATGGTGAAGACCTGGGGCAGACTTTGACCAGGCTGACCTCGTGACTACAGGGAACCACAGTGGCTTAACCAACAAATCTACGAAAAATGGTGACTATGCTAAGGTACGCACAACCAGTAAGGACGGGTTGTTAAAGTATGAAGTAAGTAAGAAAACAGTTACAACAGCATAGTTCGTAGGAAATAATATCACAAATCGAGAAACTTTTCTCCTTTCGAATAAAAAAAGTTGATAACTGGCGAGAAATTGGCTCATGTCGTAGAAATCGAAAAGAAGATGAGACACGGAAGTTACATATCGAAAAACCTTTTGCTAAAATATTAGAATAACTAAATAAACTTTCAAAATAACGGACGAATGTTATTTTCCACCCAGTTTTTAACAAGCACCAATAAAGCCTTCGCGGCCCATTGATAACTAGTGGACTAATCAAGCTGACTCAACTCCAGGGACACAAGAGGGATCCTACCTTTTTGCACCGGATCCTTTCTTTTTACTGTTTTTGATCATGAGCTTGGAAGGTTCTACCTTAATACATTGCAGACAACTGTTTATAACCTGCTAAAAAGCCTAAAGCTATTAGAAGTTAGGAGCGATTTCAATGCGCAGTAGGGATTGAATTGACGAGGCAGCGCTTTCAATATATCTCTTACCAGATCTTATCGCCTCATTGCCTCAGAAGAAACCTGTTTCTTTCAGGGTCGTCAATTGTGGTGATCATATATTTGACTATTACTCATGGTAAACAGTTTCCAATGGTATGGGAACCAAACCAGATGCTCAGATTAACCGTCGAGCATTCGTTTGTATCTCTTATATTGATTCTCCTAGAAACAAATACCATGCAAGTAATAACGCACGATTTCATTACGAAGTTCTCCCACGTCTCTCATTTTAGGAATCGCTTTGTTGTTCCCTCATGAACGAACGAACAAAAAAGTATAAAGCTAGTCAGACGTGACGATCGTTCAAGAAAGAGTTCCTCCCAACATTCAGGCTGCAGAACGAACGGATGACACGGAAAATCGACTTCACAGCATACTACCACAAAAAACCAATATTTGAGAAGTTTAAGCGTCATCAGTATTCGGATAACGAGCGGATTCTGTAGTGAGGAATTGGAATACCTGTCGATATAGTTTAAATCATTAGTGGGCAGGGATAAAGGGTAAAGCATCCAGCGTTGATCAATCCCTGAATGATTCGGCCACCTGAGTTTTCTGATCTCAGATAGATAGAGCAGCATGCTTAACTCGGAGCGCGAGATCGAACCGAAGACCACCGCTGTACTGCTGAGCACCTTTACTCATCGCACTATACTCTTCGCTAATCAGCAGCTACCAATAAAATTCACTGCATCATGTCTTTGGTAGTTTATAACAATTATTTTCGATGAAGACTATTCTTCTGCTACATTTATTTTCACTATTACACTAAGTTGGATCAATACTTGACAAGTTCGCAGGGATATGAATCACTTTTGATTCCTACGTGGCCGAAAGTTATTTGTCGTTCACCTTTAATGTAAACATATCTCAACTCACAGTGAATTATGTTGATTGAAGTGGCCGGTAAAATCTATGGAGCTTTTCGAATAAGAGACGTTTTCATATTCTACCAGTGCGATAAAAACTACTACGAGTACAATACTGTCTCTGAATGAATCGCCGTTCTCGACTGTTCATACCCACATCCAGATAGAGGAGGATTTCTTCTACAAGTTTTGAACTGCTAAAATTCTCAAGGTATTGAAAAATCTCCAAGTTTTTGAAGAACTGAAATGTTCGTGAATGTGTAGCTACGGAAAGAAGCTAATTTAACCACGTTTCCAATTTAGCCATATCATTAACAGTAACGGTAACAGTAACCTGGAAACTAGTTGAATTATCCGGAAAAGTGACGTGGATAACAGATGCTTCTACAACGGTTTCTGGAAACACTGCTTGCTTAGGTTATAATCACAGACTAAATCGTAAAATCGTGCGCTTATTGTGTAATTCGTACCGAGGTCTCCTACAGTATGTGAAATGTGGAAAATTGGTAGCAATGACCATTGAATGACGGGCCATTCAAGTATCAAGTATCAGGGACCTCATTTCAGATGTGCACACATGGGTCGATGGGCTTACGCTCGTGTTATTCTATATTTCAACGAACTCTTTCGACCTCCACTTCCGTTTTTGGAGGTCTTCCTTCCCATGTTTCGGGAAATGGTGAAACTTTGGGACCTTTGCAAAATTATACTGGTTATTTGGCCGGGGCCATTAATTCGATATTCGCCAAAGTAAGGCTTCTTATTCATTTCCAGTCAGTTTTTATAGTTATGACAATATATATTACTGTTAAAAATATAACTCGAACTTAAATTCGTATTAATGTAGACGGTAGCAGCCAAGCAAGTGTTGGGTTTGAAAGTGGACACTGGAAGTGGTCCAGTTAAGCCAGTTGTAACCGAAACCTCGAAAACTGGAGCTCCAATCAAAGCGCAGTAAGTTCGCCTTTTCTGTTTCTATGAGCACTGTAAGCTTCGTTTGTGCTTTTTATCCATTTTTTTATCAGGGTGTTGAAGTATACGTTTGAGAAACAAGTTTCGAGGACAGAGGTCATAAATCGGACTAGAGCGCTCGTGAAGAAGGTGCTTTCAGTGGAATCCACAGAGTCGAAACTGCTTCGTGTTCAAGAACTAAGCTCGCATATCATTCAATTTCCTCCGACGAGAATAATTGCCGCTCAAGTAATTGGTTTTTTTTCATAACATAATTGATAATGTTATACCTTTTTACTTTCTGCCTACTATAATTTCGCGGCAGGGTACTAAGCGAAATACAACCATAACGTTGCTGAGATATTTGCAAAACTCTGGACCGCAGGTGTCTATGGTGGGGAACGAACGCGCTATTGTCCTTTCCGGGGAGTAACGCGTTCACCACCACACCATGCGGGTCCTTCGTTTCGCCTGTCTCTCAGTTAGTTCTATCGATAGGCAGTAGGCAGAAAATAAAAAGGTATAACATTGTGATTTCAACTACAGCCGCAGCTTAACTGGGTTCTATGCCGATTTGGGCGCCCCAGATGAATCCCGCTGACGGGTGATTGCTGTGGCAAAGATCGATAGAAATAGCTGAGAGACAGGCGAAACAAAGGACCCGCATGGTGTGGTGGTGAACGCGTTACTCCCCGGAAAGGACAATAGCGCGTTCGTTCTCCATTGTAGACACCTGCGGTCCAGAGTTTTGCAAATATCTCAGCAACGTTATAATTAATCGTTTTGGACTGGTGTGTCCACACTATACATCATTTGGAAAATTCGCTTTCAACCACAATGATGCTGAGACATTTGTAAAACTCCGGAACGCGGGGTCTGCGGTGTGGGCAGAACACGCCATTACCTTTCCTGGGGGGCTAACGAGTGCACCACCGCACCATGCTGGGAGACAGGCGAAGCGAAAGACCCACACGGTGTGTTGGTGAGCGCATCAGCCCCAAAGTGGGTAAAAGCGTGTTCGATCTCCACCCCACACACCTGCGGGCCGGTCTTTAAATGGTGGACTCTTCTTGAAGCCTTCAATGTAATGTTTTATAGTATCCTCGTCTTATTGCTGCGCTATTAAAGACAGTAAGATCAACTGACACTGACGCGGCTCTTCGAGCCGAAGCCCGACAGTGCCTTACACTTTGCGGTTGTCAACCAGCGGTGAAAAGTCGAGGTTAATAAATTCATAAGTGATTAATCTAATTAATCTTTTTTTAAATCGGAAGCTTTATCCGCATTTTGCTAATTCCATGCTTTTTTCCTCTTTTTGCAGGAATATGTTTTATGGTGAGCGTTCCGGATTTTTTAATAACAAGACTAGCTTCCTTTCAGGCGTAAACATTTTAAGTATCGATGGGGGAGGTACTCGGGGAATGATGGGTCTTGAAGTTCTTGAGCAACTGGAAAAAGTTACAGAAAAGAAGGTTTATTTGTTTTTCGTGTTTGTTCTGTGCCTATCCATAGTTTTTCCAAATTTATGTCTGCATTAAGACTAAGTTTTCTGTGTTCACCAAACGGGTTACAGATTTGTGAGTTATTTGATTACGTGGTTGGTGTAAGTACTGGTGGAATCATCGCTAGTCTGTTGGTGGGAAAAGGATATAGCGTCAATGAGTGTCGCGCTATATATGTAGACGTCTCGAGAAGGTAGGGTAAGGGACTACAAAAAATTCATTTTTCTATCTCATCGCTTTTCATATTACACCTAGGCAATTCGTATCTTCTCTTCACTGTACAAGACTTCTTCAGGCTATTCTCGCAAAATCGCTTCACTGGTGTTAGCGGAGTTGTGCTCAATCATTCATACTATGATACGAAGAAATGGGTCAAGATACTCAAAGAAGTGGGATTTGGCTTTTTATCGATGCTGTGGTTGTTGCTTATCGTTTATTAAGTTGTAAAATTTCTATTCTTTCAGATCATTGGAGAAGAATTAACACTTATTGAAACAAGCAAAGAATGTGTGCCACGACTTAGTATCGTAGCTGCCGTTGTCAACTCACCTGTAATCGAAGTAAGTCAGTTATTTCGTCATTTAGGAAAAATATTGGTTTTCAGAGGGGATGCGTGTAGCGTAGTGGTCAGAGACGCCATGTAATACATCTGGAATCGATCCCCGCACCTCGGGCCTACCAAGCCTTCCAGCCATCCGGGGTTGGCAAATTGGTACCAGACTTGTTTCAGAGGATAGCACCACTGGCTCGATACACCGGTAAGCCACCGCGAGTCATTGTACAGATAGGCATTTAATCACCTCCAACGATGCTTAATGAAGTCGGATGCATGGCGCTTCCCTAAGGAATTGGTCAACGCTGAGAGCTTTATCCTTTTTTAGTGGTTTCTAAGGCTTATGTTTTTATGAAAAGGAGCGTGGGATCTGGTGTATAACGGCTGAGTTTTGTTGCATGTGGTAAGTTGTTGTTTGTTTTCACAAACGCCTTTGATTATAAGGCATTTTCTAATGACTGCTTTATTTCTAGCCTTATGTCTTTCGAAATTACGAACCACCTGCGGGTCGAGATTCACACTATCGCGGTAGTACTGGGCACTTTTTGTGGCAGGCTATTCAAGTGTGTTACAAAGCTAGTACTTGAGATAATTTTATGGTATTGTATGGTAATAATTTCTAGGCCTCTGCTGCGGCGCCGTTATATTTCGAGGAAGTTAAACTTGGACACTTTCTTTTGCAAGATGGCGGAGTAAGTATCTTGGTATTTGGCTCGTATGTCGTTCATTTCCTCTACAGAATTAATCTTCTTTAGTTGTTTACAAGTTTTATTGCTACGGATTGCAAAACTTTATGGCATATTGACACATTCATCACAACATGGTGATATAAACTCATTAGGAAGAGAAGACGTATTGACTTATGAGAGTTGATTTTCGGTCACTTTCTTTAATGTGGTTCAGAGAGGTTGCTGAAAACCACCACTGTAACGAGTGAAATTGAAATAAGAGATGTAACAGACTTTGGTTTACATAATACTGTTAGTGCGCGTATACACCAGTGCTTAGAGTTCCATTGCAGTACTGACCCGATCGTTTTTCGCTTGCGTCCAACCAATCACTTCGCTATTCTTCCTGAGTTCAAAAGCTACTGCCATGTTTGTCTGAGAGTATAAGAAATAACACTAGAGTGACAAGTTTGTATGGGCTATTTGATCGCTTGTATCCGTGAGCAGTTTTTTCTGATATTATCATCCAACAACATGCGATTTTGATAATCTTGAGGACAGAAGTGGGTCATGTGTTTATGTGTCGCGGTTTTCACAGAATTTTGCTTTTTGTCCTTCTTTTTTTTGCTCGGAAAGTCTGCCAAGTATCGGCGTGCAAGTACTTTCTTTCACGGAACAAATCGCCATCCAACATGTATTTGTATACCTCTCTATAGTCAAGGATGAATAACTTGAGTTTGTATTTCCTTTAAACATGGAACAAACTCATTTCATTTCATAGGAACAATAACAATATATTGGTGGTAACCGTGTAGGGTGAGCTGATGCATATTAGTATTTGCATTAATAAAACGATATAGCAAAGTCTCCATAAATCTATAAGTTTCTACACTTCAAATTCTTTGGTTGTGGAAAAATTATCTTTATTAAAAATTATTAAAAGAAAAGTTAACTCCACCTTTGTGGTTGGCATATATGGTTCAGATTCTGGTAACTAATCGCTAGTTTTTATGTTTCTATGGGTTCATTAAGTTTTTTGTATTGTGGTGAATGGATGGTTGTGGAATACGAACATCTACGCTATGTGTTTTGTGAAACTTGTTACTAAAGAGTGACAACGGTATCGATGAATGAGGAACGATACTTTTTCTATCATACAAAGGATTTGTGTATGTTCCGGGAGCAAGAAATTCCGTTCAAGAACATGGAGAATATGTAGAACATAAGAAGCACGGAAGTTATCATCGAAGGCATCGTAGGACACCCGAATTGTGGAGAATAAAGGACAGTGAGAAGGGCGAGTTGATGTTTTGTCTGGACGTCGTTACTGGCAGGAATTGATTTAAATTCGTAGCGTCTAGAGTGATTAATTAGGCGACTTTTCACACGCCTTCCATGAAAATTTAGCCGTCGTGATGCGTTAGTCTTAAAAAATTTAGAAGGATAGCCACATTATTAGTGTGTAACTTGGCTGTTTATATTTAGATAATCGCTAATAACCCAACAGCTATTGGGATACATGAGGCGAAACTATTATGGCCTGAGGAACGACTACATTGCGTAGTGTCTGTTGGAAATGGGCGATCGGTGCTCGTAACTATTTTTCATAATTTTTATTCTCTTATTCAGTTTTTTGGCTATGTTTAGGTGTGCGATCTGGAACAGGAGTCGAACGATTCATCACCGTCTACTCTAAGTTCACTGCAGAAGTTTAATCGAATAGTTGACAGCGCTACGAATACAGAAGCAGTACACATGTGTATGCATGACTTACTTGACCAGAATGTCTATTTCAGGTGGTTTTTGGTGTTACCTATAGGACAGTGAAATATATGTTTTAGAATATGTTTTGTGATATAGGTTGAACCCGTATATGACGGCTCCTTATGGCCTTGATGAGATTGATCCTAAGAAGTGCGTGGTTTTTTTTATTTAGCACTTATTGTTCTTGGTTGCAACAGTCACTGATGTTTTCGTTTCAGACTTAAACAAATGCAAAATGATGCAAAGCTTTACGTGAGACGCAATATGTCGAAAATCGAGGAGGCTTCAGCTAGGCTACTCCAGGTGGAGTTAGAAATTTCGAAGACTAAATTGGGATAGTTCCCAGGATCGACTTTCTATTAACCTCAGCATTGGAATATCAATGTGTCGTTTTCTTGTTCAGCAATCGCGAGGTTTTTAAACAGCATACATTTAAAAACCTCGCGATTGCTGAACAAGAAAACGAAGCATACATTTACTTCCATAAAAAAAAACACAATACAATACAATGCTAGCTGACGTTTCGGCAGTATTGCCTTCTTCAGAGCCTGGAAGAGTATACTGATATACAATCTACTAGGCCAAGCGCTTCAATAACACTTACAAAAAGACGAAAGACTCTTTGGTAATTACATGATCAACAAATTCTTGAAAAAACCCACCGCTTTTTCGTGACTTCCAATGAGGAAGTTTAGAACAGCTGATTATAGTCGCATGTGGTTGACGACTGCACCATCCCACATCAAAAATCGATGAGAACATACGGGATCAGGTCGCGTATGACCTCCGGCCATTCATCCCTGCTATTCATTGTAGGGTTTTTGGCATTTATCCAAAAAGCCTCAAGAAGTTTTCGCGCTGGTGTTTTGGACTCCTGTGCACGGATATTGACTTTTACTTCAAAATCGTCTCCGCTATGCTTTTGTATCCTATGCGTGCCTAGTGGGGTGCTTCGTCTTAGTTTTCGTTTGCCATCTAGGTGTTCTTTTATACGGATACACAAAGGTCTGCCCGTTTCGCCAATATATCCATCTCCGCAATTATTATAAGAGATCAGGTATATCGTACCTGAACTCATGCAATCACCGTCCCTTCCGTAAGAGCAAATTACGCAATTTGTTGTTTCACACAGACGGTCATACAGGCGGTTGCGAACTAATTGGCGACGTAGAGTAGTCGGTGGTATTTTAACTATCGCTACCGATTCCTCTAGACCTGCCCTTCTTAAGCATCGTTTTATAGCTACGCTTACTTCATCGCTTATAAAAGGCAACACAAACGGGATTTTCTTTTGGCCAAGTGTTTCGCGTGGGCGCGTCGTTCTTCTTGTAAACTTATCTCGTGGGGTTACTATTTCGTAGCCATTGGAGATGGCTATTTGCCGAGCCAAGTCGCGCGATTCTTCCTTTAGTTCCCTGGTAGTGAACACAGAGGTGGCTGTTTGAAACATGGTTCTCACAATCGCCCTCTTTGTGTGTGAAGGGTGGGAAGAAAGGAAATGAACAAGGATGTTCTTGTTACTTGGCTTTCGATACCACTTTGTCAGGTAACCGCTACTTGATAGGTTTATTTGGATGTCCAAAAACGGAAGCCAGTTTTCTCTCGGTTTCTCCCGGGTGAATTTTATGTACTCGGACTGCTCGTTCAATAATTCAAAGCATTTGTCCATCTCCTCCTACGTAGAGAAGACGACAAAACAATCATCTACATATCTGCAGAAGAGTAGTAGCCGGAGATCGAGAACAGGGGCTTCTATCTTAGACATAAACACAATGGCAAGGCTTGGCGCCAATCGCTGTCCCATTGCCAACTCCCTTATTTGCGCGAAATATTTCCCAAACCATCTGAAAATCGAGCAGTTTAGGCACTCCTTTAAGAGAGCAATTAGCTGCTGGATGGACAAGCACTAAATTGGGATTTCCTCAGACTCAGTTTACGTTTACGTGGATTTGATTTTCCTACTTCCAGCTGCAACTTCTCATGTGTTTTGGTTATAACCTCATGAAATACAGCGCATTTAAAAAATACTTCAAAACCGACTTTCCTTTAACCTCGGTGTGACTAATCGGTGTGTATTCTTTCTTTGATAAGCTTGCACGGGTTTAACGGATAATCTTTATTCGGGTAACGTTTCAACAGTTTCGTTTTCATCAGAGCCGGTGATCCGGGTCGGTGGTTCACAGTTGTTGGTGTTTTCGAGTTGGCTGTGTTTTGTGTTCTGTGACCCATAGACTCGGATCATGGGCTCTGATAAAGACGAAACCGTTGAAACGTTAGCTGAGTAGGGATTATCTCTGAACTTCTTGTGAGCTTGTCAAGGAAAAAATGCATTTTAAAATGTTTGAACTTTATTTCCTGTCTGTTGCTTTTCCATGTGAGGGTGTAATGTGTAATACAACCACATAGATTCTCAGATACGAGCAAAACTGAAAAGAATAGGCAGTAAAGTAAGAATAGGTTAGAACATTGTGATTAACTTCATCCATTTTGACTGCAGCTTCATCCAAACAGTGTCTATTGGCGATTTGTGGTCTACAAATTATTGCAATTGACGAGTTACAGAAAAAACCTCTATTGGTGTGGTAGATAGCACATGAGCCCCCGGATATATTCGCGGGTTCGGGACCCACCTGAAGTTCCGAGTTTTCCCTTCCTTGTGTTTGTATAATGCGTCTATTTTCTTGTCTTAATTCTGTTTTTTCATATTTATAGTCTTGTTTGATGATAGCTATCTTCAGATCTCACAACATTTCCGCTATTTACTGTTTTTTAGAAGCCTTCCATTTTACAACAGAATGTCCGTCGATTTGAAGAGTGGATGGATGAGAGGGGAATGTATTCACCTCGTTAAATACCATATAGATGTACATACTTTTTATGTAAGTATGTAGATATCCTGGATATTTCATGTACCAGTAGCCTTTATAATCTTAGTCTGCTCATTTCTTATTTCCATTACTGTTCATATTGCTCGTATATGATTCTCAACATCTGTTTGCCCATTTTGTTAAAGCACTTCATATATCCGGTTTAGGACTTTTTTCAGTGGCGTTTCTTATCAAAATATATTAGTGTTTTTGATGACCCTCATGAGAAGTTAGTTCTGTATAGTCTCTTTCCAAGTTTATAACGTTTTGCTTGCTATGTAAATGTATGTACAGAGCTTTCTCAAATTATTGATACCATCGCGACAAATTTGTACCTAATAACCTAAACTTTAAACCACTTGTGCATTTCCTACACTGTGATTGTACTACTCTTGTCGTTACTACTAGTTATGACCACGGTGAGTTGATAGGTTTTTCTCCGGGAAACATCTTTTGTTGAGAACTGCTAACTGAAATTAATTCCACATTGTTGGAAAAGCTCACTTAGCCTCAATTTACTAATAATTCAATGAAGTAAAGCTATTCGTTATGGGATAGTGTTTGTCGATGTATTTATCACAGTATATTTTACTAACATCATGGTGATCTTGATAAATTTCTCATTGTTATCTTAACCTGTTCAAATGTCATCGAAACAAAAGTTTTCAATGCTGTTGATATCAGAAAAGGTGTAAGCATAATGATATTGGTAGGGTGCTTCTATAGTAAGGATGTGAGTGGTTTGCGATGTTTTTCTTGAGGATTTTGAAAAGCTCATCATTCTTGGTTTTTGCTCAGTTGATATTTTCAGTGCTACCTTCTAGACAATAAATTATTAGCACTTACGCTTGTGTGCTCCAAAATTTCTGAGCATATCATGCTAAAAGGGTTGAGGCGTAATAATCGGAAGTGCCATAGAGTACAGGCATGATCGCTGATTCAGTTCTTTTCTCTGCCAATTAAGCTCCTGTCTCTCTGAGGTTAGGAAATCTGTGCCAAATTCGTTTTGGAAGATGTCTATCAGATCCACAAAGGCCGGCGATTGAATGTGACCTAAGAACGGTACAGCAGTGCTACTTGCAGCAGAGTTTGAGGAAGAATCGAGTTGATCAGCATTGAACTACACGTAATCTTGAAGAAAAAATGATTCTGGACTGATATGGTACCTACACTCAAATCCTCAAACTGTTCTATGAATGACGGGATGCACAAGTACTAACAGAGTGAAAAAAGGAAATGATAGAATCAGCACAGTATTTCAAACAAAAATTAAAGATAGGATCTATCTAATAAATTGGATGGATTAGTTGTTTGAATAGAGCTCAAATTACATTTGCTTCTTATTCATTGTTGGAAAAACGATGTGAATCATGGCCTAAGGTGAAGGCTTGAGTTCTGGATTTTTTGAAATGAACTGGACAGGTTCGGGGTTCGATCCAAGTACATCGTCCCCGATTTCTCGGTGTATTTGTTGCAGACGATGTATTCGTTCTAGAATCCTTCAAAAGGTGGTAAAGCTTCCTTCAGTCCCGATGAGCAGTGTCTGTGGTTGAGGACTGGGAACGCTCTACCATGGATGTTTTAGAATTCCGTAAACGACAACTCTCGACCAGCTTTCAGTATGTTAAGGAGGAAGAAAGATTGTTTAGCTGATACCGTAGTCGCAAACTTGCTTTCAAGACAACCAAATGAGTGGAGGTTTTGGGTGTGTACGTCATATGAACACAGATCACCTTTGTATCGAGTTAAGTAAACGTTCTTTGGGATGTTCTAATGCTCCTCATGTTGATACTCCGCTCGTACACTCATGGGGGGCTATGTGGTCTAGTAACTATGACCGCTTTGGCTTATGTATACGTTCTCACCTATTGACCCGCCGTAATGACTGTATGCTTACCTCTTCCTTCCTTCAACAAATAACTGCACTGAGTGCCGACAAAGTGCTCTAATTCTCTCTGGCTTAAACGGCTTATCTGTGAGGCGGAGACCTTTGTGGAATGCTCTGGGAACAAATGAGATAGCATGAACTGATTTTCCGGAACATTAGTGGATTCTTTTGTTTATAGTTCCCAGGATCGACTTTCTCTTAACCTCGGCATTGGAATATGAATGTGTCGTTTTCTTGTTCAGCAATCGCGAGGTTTTTAAACAGCATACATTTACTTCCATAAAAACACAATACAATACAACGCTAGCTGACGTTTCGGCAGTATCGCCTTCTTCAGAGCCTGGAAGGGTATACTGATATACAATCTACTAGGCCAAACGCTTCAATAACACTTACACAAAGACGAAAGGCTCTTTGGTAATTACACGATCAACAACTTCTCGAAAAACCCACCGCTTTTTCGTGACTTCCAATGAGGAAGTTTAGAACAGCTGATTATAGTCGCATGTGATTGACGACTGCACCATCGCACATCAAAAATCTTTTGTTTATATTTCAAGTTTTTGCTAGTGGTTTTTGTTAGT